GAGTGATTATTTCAAAGTTGGGAGAACACGTCAGAAAAAGGGAGAATAAAAATTGTATAGCATAAGTTAGTAAAGATCGATCAGAAAACCATGAATGAAGTCTAACCGATGCAATTAGTAAGATTTTAGCCACACAAAGGAAAAATTTTACAGTACCTCTAAAGCATCTTTGATAGAGCCCTTGCCTCTTATGTACACCCTACACTCTGTCAAGGCTTCAACTCTTTTCAAGGAGTTTCCACGTGGTCCCAGAAGTCGTCCAACAAAATTATACTGCCGTGATTTGAGCAAGAAACTACTAACATCAGAGAGGCAGAAGGTCAGTACCATCACTACCTAACATAAAAATATTTTAACTTACATTCGGATATTTGTCAACAGGTACATCAAGTCTAACGACTCGCTTCACTATTGGCGTAGTAGGAATTCCTTGCACCCTCGGCCAACCCATTGAATGAGCTTGAAGGGGAGCCATCCCATGGACGTGTCCACTTCCCTGCAGTAAAAAAATCACATTACTAAACCACATAAGTCAAAAATATGAAAGGCCTACTTTTTATATTTTGAGAATGCTCAAGTTAAAACCGAGAGACCCATGGAGTGCCAGCTGGTAAGAGCAAGGGATGTTTGGAGATACCCTGCAAAGTTCTGGATTCAAGCCCCCAAAGTACAAATTTAATAACCTAAAACCGTTGAGTCTTGGAGGTGGCCATTATCAGTTTGCATTGTATTCTATCATTCATCTTAATTTTTTATTTTTTATTTTTCCCTATCATTCATCTTAATGAAAGCCTGGTTTTCCATTTTCACAATAAAAATACTTATATATAGAAAGTAATGATGAAAGAGAAAGCCTTCATACTGAGAAACTACCCAAACTAAGAAAGAAAAATATAGATCGAGGACACTTGATATAGTCAATGCAAAGGCAAAAATTTAAACCCATTATTATCCATTATCGCATAATTTTCCAGCCTAGTAGGATATTAATATATTTACCTCCATTTGCATTGGAGGCCATCCTTCCAAGTCCATTGGTCTTCCATTCGATAGCTGGCCTAGTGATCGGTAAGGACTCCCATGCTCAAATCTCTCATGATCCACAGAAGTTTGATTAAGGCCTGATAGCCGTCTGATTTCTGCAATGAGATGAAATAAATAAAGGGATGCTCATGCAACTGACTAAGAAAATACTCTGTTTAAGACGAGAACTCTGGAGATGAATGGCTTGTTATTCATGAAAATTACGAGTCATTGCGAACTTCCGTCAAAATCTCAGAAAACTATCACCACATGACTATTCATGTGGAGCAGAGAAAAATAATCCAAAAAATTATAAGAACATGTCTCAGATTCATGTCATCGTCAAGTTAATGTCATTTTTTGATGGGGTAGGACAGTAGGAAAAATTGTTCTTGACCTTGTCTAATTAATATGAGTTGACAAAGTGCTGAATAGGACAGTAGGATACATCTTTTTGCCTCTGTCCATATGGAGAGAATGACACTCTTGGACATAACTGGCTTAGCCTAAACTTAGTTTGACCTCGACCCAGGTCAGAACTTGGTCATATTGGCACTGGCAAGCAAGGGGGACTCTTAACTGTATGTAATAGGAAAAATATAGCAAGATAGGTATAATCTCATGTATTTCAAGATGACATGGGTTCCTCATTTCCAAACAACCACAAAATTCCATCTCCCTCAACCAGCCCACCTAAACTAACAACTGATGGTCCCCAACACGAACCCACACCTCTTAAATTACCAATAGCAATTGCTATACTACACCTTGCTACAAGTCCTATCATACTTCCAAAAAATCACACCTTGTCCTCAAGGTGTGGATCAAAGAATGGTTCTTGACTGAAGCTTTCTCCTTCCCAATCCCTGAAACTAAATGCCACTACAAACGGAAGGGTTGCAAATAGTTTCTCCCCAAGAAATCCTAAACTTGCATTGCCTTTTGTTAATCCACCCCTTGACACTTTCTTTTGCACAGCTCAAATTTACAATCTTCTTGCACCTTCATTTCCACCAAACCTTCGTTACTCTCTGTTGCCACCTGACCTACTTCGTTAATCCCAGTGATTCTTGTCATATAACTCATGTGACTGTCCATTCTTGAGTAGCAAATCCATTTCTTCATTGAAGCGCATCAAATATTCCCACCCCTCCAGATTGCTCGTTAGTGGTTTTCTTCCCCTACAGCAAATGGCCATATCTCCTTCAATGTTTATTCTACCATATTGAGCACGATTTACACTTCACCATTATTGAGCTAGCAACTTCTAGAGTCAATGAATTCTCATCACCTACTTCTTTCAGTTTCAACGCGTTAAATTTTCCTCTCCAGCAAATCCACTTGTGCTTCAAGCTTTTCGTTCATACAACAAATTAACACCAGGGTTGATGCTTCGATACAACTTCATAGCAACCAATTGTTAGTAGCATATAATAGAAAAATATAGCAAGTCAGCTACAATTCCAAGTACTTTTTTAAAGTTGCATGCTTATTAAAATCACGAGAACATAAGGAAACTCGTATGCTTAGTTGTAATTACATTTGTTCAAGTGATTACAAGAACGGTGTCAACCTATAATACATTTGAAAGGATGAAATATCCCAACAATAGTTCCAGAAGGAAATTATAATTCCACTACTGCCAGCATAAGAAATAATAACAATTAAACCCACCCTGATTCAGAAGTCTGCTACAATGAGGTAAAACTTGGACGAAGGGACCCAACTTTTGTCTCTCCGATAGCAATTCAGTTAGATACCTGCCATTATCACACAACACAAATCACAGTCACATGTAACCCCTCGTGTCCAAAAGGTACAAAACAACATGCCACAACGAGAATTATAAAACACCGCAAGAAATTAAAAAGTTGAAGAAAAAATCATGTTATGTACGATCAATCAAACAAGGAACCCAAATTAAAAAAAAAAAAGGAAAACAAGCAAATAATCATCCAGAATTGAGAAGATGGGCAAAGAAAGAATACCTCTCCCGATCTGAGGAGGGAATTGAAGGGGTCCTGTGAGGAGATGCGTGGGCCGAAGGGGGAGGGTAATGGAAGTAACTCCCAGGTGGGGTTCTCTCCCCCATCACGCACAAACTAGAGAAACAGGCGCAGAAACAAGTGGAATTGTGAAGGCCCAGAAGAAGAGTGAGATACATTTCGAACAGAAACAGAGATTAGAGGGGGCATGAACATAACATACCTGTTCAGAAAGAGCGAGGAAGACGATGAATCGGGGGTGTAATGGCGTCGGTGAATCGGAAAATGAAAGCCCTACAGGCAGAAGAGGGGAAGAGAAGATCGATGCGTGCTTCTTCACTGTAATCTTCTTCTTCTTCTTCTTCTTCTTCTTCTTCTTGTTTGTCGCAATGGAATCAGTGAGTGGCAATGGCAAATTGGCAATGTGGGATGCGCCTTTTTCTACCCAAACTTAAAACCTTGCCCTTTCTCTCTCTCTTGATTTTCTCTCACTAGAAATGTATTCGTGATTTTACTGTTTTGCCCCTTGCCTCACGTGGGAGTGGAGCCTGCTCTCTGACCAATCTGACTCTTGGCTTTTATTCATGGTCTAAATATTTTTTGGGAAAAAATTTTAGTGGCACAGTATTCTATTTGTTCACCCTATAATTTTATATTTATAAATAATTTTTAATATTGATAGATCTTGTATAATTTTTACTATGATGCTAGCATATCATTAATCGATGATTTTATTAAATTATACAAATAAATTTGTATTAAAAAGTTTCAATTGTAATAAAATTTTATAAATTTGGATCAAAATTAAAATAAAAAGTATAAAGACTAAAATGAACAAATATTAAAAATATAAGAAACGAAATGAAGATTAAAATAAACTAAACATGAGCTTAGCTCGTAATTCATACCTATTTGTGAAATGTCCGTCTTGTTCGTTTTGGTCCATATACTTTTAAAATGTTCATAATCCTTGAACTTTTAACTTTTGCTTATTTAAGTCCCTATACTTTTAAAAAGTGACTATTTAAGCATGTATTTCGATCAAAATTTTAGACGAAACTCCACTTATTATTAAATTTTCTTGAAATGTAACCATAAGTTTGTATTAAAACATTTCCATTGAATATAAAATTTGTGTTAGACTTTGGTAAATAGGAATCAAAATGGTCAAATTTTAAAAGAAGTCAAAAGTACAAAATGGACATTTTGAGAGTAATTTAAACCTAAATATTTACCCTAAGGGACATTCATATATTTAATTCCCACCATCTACAAATTCCAGACAGAAACCCTAAAATGAACCGCTCATATTACCGTCTGACAAGAGATTTCTAGGATCCCCTGGCCATGGCAGGCTGCATATAATGAGGGGAAAATAATAATAATAAATCTAAGTAGAATATAAATTATATGTAAATTATACATCATCATAATCCAATCAAGCAAACAAATAATAGAATAGAGTTGGTAACCAGACAGAAATGAACATGCAGAAGACAAAGGACAAAAGAGAGAGAGAGAGGGAGAGTTACAAAAATTGTTGAAATATTTGATGAAGTTAAGAAGAGGAGCAGCAAGATTTCTTTGTATTGGCCTCAGATTCCCCAACCACAATGGTTTTTCCTTCTTTAATGCTGCTAGCAGCAGCTGGCTCATTCGAATTGAGGGACTTCTTACTGATTATCCTATATATCTCTGAGAGAATAGTTTGGAAAGCCTTCTCCACGTTTGTTGCTTCAAGAGCAGAAGTTTCAAGGAAAGATAGCCCTTCTTTCTCGGCGTAGCTCTGAGCATCCTCTGTCGCAACCGCTCGGAGGTGTTTCAGATCGGTCTTGTTTCCGATTAACATGATGACTATGTTGGAATCTGCATGGTCCCTAAGTTCCTTCAACCAACGGCTTACATTGTCGAAAGTCATTGCTTTCGTCGTGTCGTAAACTAGAAGAGCTCCAAGGGCGCCCCTGTAGTAAGCACTGGTGATTGCTCTGTATCGCTCTTGACCAGCCGTGTCCCATATCTGTGCTTTCACGGTTCTTCCCTCGACCTATTAAACATGCAGCATTTCTCTTCTTCATAACTTTGATAATAAAAGAACAATAAATAAATGAGATCGCTTCATCAATGAACCAAAAAACACACCTACAGGCTAAAAGGGCACAGACAAATGATCAAAAGCTATTCTGTTTGGATAATCCAAAACGCCTTTTTGATTTTATAAAGCAAAGACAAACTTCATATGCAAGCATCGGAGAATAAATTGGAAACTATGCGTCTATGCCTGTAATTTTAGCCTGAGAGGGCCAATGAAAGGATATCACCATTTCACAAGACTGGTGGCCAACAACGGATATTACAAAATTTTCCCTCATTCTGCAGGGATCCAAATTATTGCAACATTTAAGTTCATCAAAGGGGCCACTAAAATCACATAGCTGTATCAATATGACAAAGAAATAGGATGATCCAAGAAGTTCCAAAATCTATGAGCATAACGTCTATATGTATAGAACTGGATACTAAATAACATTCTCCAACTACCAACCATATCCAAGAAACTAAGATTTAAATGACCACATATTGACGGTGTAAATCAAGGGATGCCGCAAGATCCGTATACGCTGCTTGATTGTTTAAATACTTGTGAAATTCTGGTCTTCTTTAGGATTGATCTCGAATGGTTTGAAACTGTCAAATACGCGCAATCAAAGTAGAAGGAATGGAGGAGAGGCGGGAGATGTTATCAAGATTTGAATAAAAACCAAGATACTAATCGAATTTGCAGAAAATAGCTCATTAATTCAGATTTGGATTTATAAAGAATGGCATTAAAGTTCTGTGGACTAAAATCATTGGCATGAACAGCCAATTATGATCTAGATCATATCTGCGTTGCAAGTTGGGACGAAATATCTTACCCATACCCAGATCATAATTTGATTCATTTCCATTAAAAGTTAAACCTAATTAAAATTTAAAGGCATTTTCCATAATTCGACGAATAACTTCCCGCATTCCTCTAAATCAAAATGTGAACAACCAGAACAACCAATTGAGAACACAGATCCGTATGAGAAGATTCAGAAACTCAACTCAGACAAAACCGCCTTCGTAAAACGAAAAGAAATCAGATCATTTCATCAAATGAGAAACAAACAAATGCATCCAAGAAAATTGAAGTTCCAAAATCAATCCAAATGCAGATTTACTCATAGATCGAGAATGCAGAACATACAAACATACAACGCAAACGAATGTACGCAGATATAGATGCAGAATGAGGGAGAAAAAAAGAGAGAGAGAGACCTGAAGAGTACGAGTGGCGAATTCGACGCCAATGGTGGACTTGGACTCCAAACAAAACTCATTCCGAGTGAATCGGGAAAGCAAGTTGGATTTCCCAACGCCGGAATCGCCGATTAACACAACTTTGAAGAGGTAATCGTAGTCGTCGTCGGGTCTCCGGGCCATTTCTCGCCGGCGCTCTCTCTCTCTCTCTCTCTCTCTATCCTCTGCTTCTAAAGATTTTGCTTTCCCAAAATCTGGAAAGCAAAATTTGAAGCAGTTCTTCCCACGAATCGTCTGCTCCGCTTTGAAAATGTACACGAATTGGATTCTACCGACTTCAAATGATGGGGTTGGCAGAAAATTTCTATGCCCAAACTACCCTCCTAGGGATGGGCATTTTCGACCACGAACTTAACATAATTTTGTGGTTAGGGTATTTTTGGTCTGATTTACTCCGTATTTGAGATGTAATATTCTTAATATATATGGGATAAACTTAGATAGATAATGAAGAAGCCAATAACACAAGGTTTTCAGACAAAATTGAGACCTCGTTCATGTTCTACTAGTACATCAACTATATATTAGAAATACCAAAACGAGTATAATTCAACAATAATTGATATATATCCTCCAAAGTCGCGTGTTTGATCTCCACTCCGATATGTTGTACTTGAGAAAAATTAAGTAATGTTCGGTAATAAAAAAGCTTATACGTTTTTAGCAAGAGTTTATAAACATGTTCCACAAATAGTTTCATTTTTGTCTTTTCCCTCCTTTTAATGGATTTGTTTCATAAGTTTTTTTTTTTTTTTTAACGGAATTGGTCTCATAAGTATGAGAGAAGTTAAGCATTTTGGAAATCTTTGAAACTTAAATGGAATATTTGTGAAATTAAAGAAAAAAGAATAATGTGTTTATCCAAAATCAACGTATAGTATGAAATATATTTTTATAAATTTAAGTTCATATTAATCCATAATAATCAAATTCATGTTTATAATACAGGCTCAACTTTGAAACGATTACGTAGATCTAATTTATGTGTCAAAATACTTGTAAAAAAAAATATGTTTTACTATGAAGAAATAAGGTTCTTATTGGCCAATAATTCATCTTTTTTCTTAAAATGGGAGGTTTAAATACTCACTTTTATTTACTAAAAATACAAAGTTCCTTTATGTCAAAAAAAAAAAATTATTATTTGATTGTTGGATAGTTTCCTACCTAAAAAAACGCCATTGTTTTCTTTTGGGTAATTTTCTTCCTCATCCAAATTCGTATAGAGTATAAATATCTAATATTGTTTATATGCTAAGGTAAGAGAATCAACCAAATCTTGTAAGAAAAATCTTTTAAATACAATAAATATAGAATGAAAATTCAACCGCTAACCTACTAGAAATGAGCAAAATATTTTAAACGTTAAATTATAGCTATGTTTGTTGCCAGTTTTGCAAGAATGTTATATCAAATATTTACTTTAGAAAACTTAGAATAATTACTAGAATTGTTTGTAGAATGTTATAATTAATTTTCCCAATAATTAAGTTATATTAAATTTATATACAATAGGACAATTAAAACCAAATTGGTGGAAAGTGCAATGACACCATATACCAACCAAGGAGAAATTTCCACTAAAGGACAAAAAACCTACAACCATTTGATGGGCTATGATAAGCATTAGGTAAATTTCAATTATAAATTATAAATTTTGAGTGGATATAATGCAAAGTATGGGGAAGGTGAGACTTTACAAAGTCCAACTTTAACATTTCTTTTAAGTTTGATAATATGAATTATGCTTGGATTTATAAATTCGATTCATAAACTTTCGTGTCAATTTAATTCATATACTTTAAAAAATTCTACTAAATATCTCATTTTTTAAGATTTTGTTTATTTAATCTCTATACATTAAAAATATTTCAACGAACTTTCAGTTTTAAGACCAAACTCATGATTTAATCTAGCTTGATTTTTTTCTGGAATGAAAATTGAATTTTCGACCTCAATTCATTAAGTGGGGTTGGAATTTGTCAAATTGTTTTAAATTTAGAAGCTTAAAAGAGAATAAATTTATCATTTTAATATTTTTTAAAATATATTTTCCCAAAACAACGGTTAACGGCAAGCCACGCAAAACCCCAATAGTATGAATGTTTCACTTGAATTTTCAACCAACCCTTCAATAAGGCGATTTTCCTCTTCACAAATCACAAATATCTCTAATCCTCACCTCTTCGTTTTCAACCCAGATTTCTGATTCAATCGAATCCACAGCAAGCTCGGCCACTCCATGGCAATGGACATTTGCCCCAATGTGCTCGGAGTTTCTCGGCTTCTATCCCCTCCTGCTTTTAGAGTTTCAGCTGAGAGACGACCCATTTTGGCACGAAGCTCCAGCAGTACTCAACAGCCCACTTCCATCGGCTCAATCTCTCTCGAGAAGAACAATGGCTTCCCAGGTTCGTTCCTCGCTCTCTTTCTCCCTGTATTGGCGTTTTTCTTCGATTAATGGTTTCTCAGTAATGAACTTCCGAGTGGTTTCTTGCCTTAAACAGTGTGAAAATAGTGTTGGGCATTGCTCAAAATGCCTGAGTTTTTGTTTAATTTCAGTATGGGACTCCATGACCTAACTAACTTTGAAATACAGCAAAGATTTTAAATTAGTAATACCACACATGAGTGAAAGTAAGGTTTACGATATTAAATTTTAAAAACAGAAAACAAAAAATAAAATGGTTAAATTGTTTCCGCTGACAGACTTGAATATAGGACTTCTGAAGGTATCCCCAAACATCCCCAAGTCATTACCACCCTGCAGAATAAACTTTGATAAATAGTTTTTTGACCAAGTTTTGTGCATCTCGACTAATTTCACGAGACAACTGTCTGACTTTACAACATTTAGTTGTTAGAGGATTTTAATATCTTAAATAGTTGGCTTGGCTACCATGTGGTTGGACCCCGTCTTTACTTTTCTCACTATGCCAATTAACTATTAGGCCAACCACTGTGGTTAATAGTTATTGTTTTGATTCACTCATTTGTGGGTTAACTTGCAGGGAAGGCAGAGGCTGATGTTGTAGTAATTGGGAGTGGTATTGGGGGGCTTTGTTGTGCAGGGCTGTTGGCTAGATATGGAGAAGATGTTCTTGTGTTGGAAAGTCACGATTTGCCTGGAGGTGCTGCTCACTCTTTTGAGAATAAGGGCTATAAATTCGACTCTGGTCCATCTCTGTTTTCGGGTTTTCAATCGCGAGGTCTTCAAGCAAATCCACTTGCCCAAGTAAGATCCCAGACGGTAGATTATGCCTTCTGTCAATAATGAATAAACATCTAGAATCTCTCATATTGTTTTTTTTTTTCTTTTTTTAATTTTATTTTTATAAGAAACTGAGCTTTTATTGAGAGAAATGAAAAAAATATACTCTATCAACCTCTATTATTCAGAAGGCTTCAAAGATAACTATAAGAAGTTTCAACACCTAATGAGATGTGAGAAAATGTTTAAGTTGAATTACAAGTCAGGTTACAGTAACTTCTTATTTGTAATATTGGGGATGCCTAATCAAAATGCCATCTAATGTGCAATGTTTTTCAGGTTTTAGATGCACTTGGCGAATCGCTTCCTTGTGTCAATTATGATTCGTGGATGGTCTACATACCTGAAGGGGAATTTTTATCACGCATTGGCCCCACAGAGTTTTTCAAGGTGGATATCAGACATTGAGTTGGTAACCCATTTTACTTCTATTCCACTTGCATAGTTTTGATAGGGAAAACTTCTTTTTTCAGGCACGTATAAAAATGTGTATTCACAACAACAATAAGCACCCAAATCAACTACATCTATAAGATTATGATTTCTAAATTGAAAAGAGTAGGGAGTTAATCAATGTTTTTCTGTCGCCTTCAGGATCTTGAGAAGTACGCAAGTCCAAATGCTGTTCAAGAATGGCAGAAACTACTAGTAAGTAGTAATGGAGTTGTCTATTTATCTATTCCTTTTCAGAAATTTTTCATTTTGGGCAAGATATCATTTATCTTTCATGTGTGTAAATATATAATTTATTCAAAATGAAGTTGCTTCACAGGAAACCATACTTCCATTGTCAGCTGTAGCCATGGCTCTACCGCCTCTATCGATTCGAGGTGATTGGGGTGTACTTTCAACAGCTGCAGCAAGATATGCTCCTTCTCTCTTGAAATCCTTCATTCAGATGGGACCTCAGGGTATTATTGGTTCAACCAAGCTTCTCAGACCATTCTCAGAAATCATCGACTCGTTGGAACTTAGTGACCCTTTCATTCGAAATTGGTTGGATCTATTGGCTTTCTTACTTGCAGGAGTCAAAACAAATGGCATATTATCAGCAGAGATGGTAAATATAAATGAAGCTTTAGAATAGAATAACTAATATCTGAGACTTGTCAGTTTTTGTTACTGCATCTGGTATTAGATATGCATGTTTTTACACAGAACTGTAGGTAAAAAGTTTCTTTAGTTATCTTTCTCTATCTAAAACAATGTTCCTAATCAAAATTTTAGAAGATTTCAAAGTGTTGATAGTAAAATTATCAGTTGATAACCATTGTTGCCTTTCCTATTTCCATTCTTCCCAGTCTGTTGGAGAATCTTGGTACCATTTTTATTCCCATTTTTCCTAGATCTGTTATCATAAGTCATAATGTTTCGACTTCTTCAAACCCTCGTGTTTTAGCGATACGGAGGATAACATATGCATCTGTTTCTCTTCTACATTTCAGATTTATATGTTTGCAGAATGGTATAAGCCAGGCTCCTCTCTTGAGTATCCTCTTCATGGAAGTGGGGCAGTTGTTAATGCCCTTGTTCAAGGCCTGCAAAAATTTGGCGGGCGCATATCTCTCGGAAGTCATGTTCAGAACATTATAGTGGAGAATGATCGGGCTGTTGGGGTGAAACTAAAGAGCGGTCAAGTAAATTTTATACAAATTGATCAGAGTCGATGTTAAGAAACATTAATAGTATCCACTTCATATGTCATCTTTTGATCTCATGATTGAGCTTGTTGCAGTTTGTACGTGCAAAGAAGGCTGTAGTGAGCAATGCATCAATGTGGGACACATTGGCCTTATTACCTGAAGGTGCTGTTCCTAAATCGTATCGGGATAGCGTAAATACGATGCCGCAATGTGAATCATTTATGCATCTTCACTTAGGCTTTGATGCAGAGGTGCGTGATGTTAGTAAGACACTTCAATTTCCATTCTTTTCGAGATCAAACATAATCGTTCTATTAGGAGAGGATAGTACTTAAACAGTTCACGTCTGCCATATTTTCCATGTTCTAATCGACACTGATAGTTAGCATGGCTTAAAAAGCAAGGTCAAGCATTGATTTAAAAAGCGCATTTAGGAGAGTGTATCTGTTTAATAACTCAGGTGTTAGGAGCTTCACTTGACCCACCTCTACCACTCCAAGAGCGAGTTGCAAGAAACATCGAAGATTTTAAGCATTAAGTTTTCGACCTTGGAGCTTGGATTGAGGACCTATTCTTTGACCTTTTCATTTAAGCTTCAGGAGATGATAGAATCCAAATAGCTGAAATAGATTGAAAGGTAAAAAGATAAAAGGGCTACAATTATCTCCAAGTAATTCGAGGTACTTGGACTCTCCCCTCTTAAGATCACTCAAGCCTAGACCATACTAACAATTGCCTTCCTTCATCCTTTCACCCTCACTCTATTTATGACTAACATATTCCTTAGCTAATTACCAATATACCCTTACTATCTCATTGATATCCCTAGTTACCCTAATGACATTCCTGTCAGAAGACTATTGCACTCTAGTGTTCCTCACTCTCTGGAAAGCATTGAGTTCTAGATTTATGAACTTTCGTTCATATCCTTTTTAGGGCATTCGTGAAGACCTGGGAATTCATCATATAGTTGTAAACGATTGGGATAGAGGAGTCGATGCCGATCAAAACGTGGTTCTGATATCAGTACCAAGTGTTCTTAGTCCAGATCTAGCACCTCCCGGAAAACATGTATTACATGCATACACACCAGGAACTGAACCATATGCTCTTTGGGAAGGACTTGACCGCAGGAGCTCTGAATACAAAAACCTCAAGGCTCAAAGATCTGAGGTAAGTTATAATCTTAAAGAACAAGTGTGTGAATCTTTTTATTGTTGCAAGCTCTGCCATGCCAGTAATATGACTAAACATTTGAGGAAGCTATGACTTTTTCTTACTTTTATTAACTTCCATGCTTATTTCATTTTAGTCCCTAAACTTTTAAAAAATATATTCTAGTCCTTAACTTAGCATATGCTACTTTTGTTCTACACATATATGAACAAATATTTGAAACCGTATGTAGTAAGTTAGATGTTAAGTTTTCAAATGGAGTTTGGCATTATTAAAAGATCAATGTAGTTTGCCAACATGAACTTTGAGGATGAAAACATAATATTTGAGAGTTGAGTGAACCACAATGAAATAAGTACAAGAGTTCAAGGGTGACACTAGAATTCAAATCTAATCTTCTGAACCTTTTTTTTTTTTTTTGTGAAAAAGGTGATGTGGAGGGCAGTTGAGAGAGCCCTTGGAGAAGGTTTCAAGAGAGAAAAATGTGAAGTGAAGTTAGTGGGGAGTCCATTGACTCATCAGAGGTTTCTAAGGAGGAACAGAGGGACATATGGGCCAGCAATTGAAGCTGGAAAAGCCTCTTTTCCTGGGCATTCAACTCCCATCCCTCAGCTCTATTGCTGTGGAGATTCTACATTCCCAGGCATTGGAGTCCCAGCAGTTGCTGCCAGTGGTGCCATTGTTGCTAATTCTTTGGTCTCTACTTCCCAGCACTCTCAGCTTCTTGATGCTATTGGAATTTGATTGCATTTTCATGTTTTCATTTTGGGATCTTCTTCATTCTCTCTACTAGGCATGCTATCTTTTGTAAATTTGTATTATAATATAGACAGACTATGTAATATAATCCTCAATATTCGGGTCTTTTTCAGAAGCCTGCGCTTTCTTTGTTGAAGTAAGTACAAATGGTCCAGCTCAAAATTTCTTAAAAAGAAAGAAAAAAAAATCGTCTACGATTCCTTTGAAAGTTTTGACTCTGTCCCTTGTGCATTTGAATGGATTTTTCTCATTCAAAGATATTTTCTAACATTTAGTGATAGAAGGAATATTCAGATCGAAAAAAATAACTAATATATAAAAGATGAAGCTTAAACTTTTAAAAGATTAAAGATGCAATTGAGAAAGATTAGGAGCTAAATTATATAACCATCTTGCCTCTAGAAACTCGAGCGGAAACGCGAGAGGAAAGGAACATTCTCTAAACCTGTACAAGAAATTGATGCATTGATCTTCTATAGACTAAACATTCAGATCTGATTTAAGCTACAAAAAATGGGCAAAATGGTTGTAGCCTTCAAGATTCAATCTAATTTTCAACTTGGATGGCCTTAAAGCTAACTTACATCTTTGAAAAGTAATAATCTGATGCTATGCAATCTTTCGAATCCTTAATTGTATCAACATTCTGTATAATCTCAGCAGTTGGGCATAACAAGATTATGCACATGGAAACTTTCATTTACAAGTATTAAACTAAAAATATCACAAGCCGCACATGAAATTTAAACCTATACACATCTATACAAGTATTTCCTTCATAGGGAAATTTAGTTCACAACCAAAGCAAGACAATGAATAAAAGAATATGATTATCAAGCATAATATAGCACAAACAAAAGAGGGCTATACTCACCATCTTTTCTTTCCAATTATCTACAGACTAACCAACCGTATTTGTTTCGTTACTCCCAGACCGTCTTTCTCGAGCTCCATTGATTACTCTCTGTTCTATCGATCCTACCACAACCATTCACTGCAAACTCATCAGAGTATCCATATTTGTTCCAGACTCCAATTCCTCTCTGCTGTCTACCAGATGAATGGTGGCTAACATTAGGACCCATTGGACTCCTTCCAACGTCAACTCTACCCATAGGTGGCGATGGCGAAAGGGTCATCGGAACTCTTTCGGGGGCATTACTTCTGTTAAAGTCTGGTGGAAGTCTTTGAGACTGGTAGCCATTGTGATGCTGCTGCATCTGGTTTTGTTGATAGTGGTAATGACGCTGCTGAATGTGATGTTTGCTACCGGGAAAGACGGTGGCGGGAGGTTGGACGTTGTTGATGCTGCAAAGGCTAGGAGAGCTATGGACCTTATGCATAGGAGGGAGGCTAGGTTTGATGCTATTCCAAGAGAATGTTTCTTGAGCCATTGATTCAGCAGTATGACCATCTGGAGAAGATGATTTTGGGGATGAGCAGGCAGAGGAAATGCTGAATGTAGGGCGGTTACTGTTAGCACGGGTAGGGGAGAGTCTTGAGCTGGCGGTGGAGCTGGAGCGTACGATGCCATTAATTGCTTCGAGATAACGTTGCTCAATCGCTTGAGGCTCTGTTGAGAATGGTTGCGTCTCAACAACAATGGGGTTTGAAGGAAATAAGAAACACCGAAGTTTAGGCGTTCCTTCGCTTTCGAGACGATCATATTCATCAAGCATATGCTTTAAATCCTCATCAGACCTCACAGACACCAAAACATCAAGGTCCTCAGGAACCAACTGATACTTTAGAACCATGTCTCCATCAAATAGAGCAGTCAGTTTCTTCAATAGATCTGTTGAAGTCAAAATGATGCGAAAGAAGATTAAAACAAATTTTAAATTCACAAAACTCTATTCTAGTGTTGAATATGATGTTGGTCTGGTTCGAAGCAAGAATGAGTAGAATAGAGAAGACTCAAAACTACATGTTTTGAAATGTTTGCTAATATTCATTTCCATCGAAGGAATAAGAAAATTTTTATTCACTGAACTTCCTAGGGAGATTCGTAACCTAAATCTGACCAATATCACACATCAAGACAATGCGTTTCCAGAACTTGTTGACGATGCTTTCTCAGGGAATAACTTCGCAGATGAACAAAACGATAAATTATATCAAGTGATCTGAACCTTGTACAGAAACCACTTCAAATCATCCAGAAAAAACAAAACCATACAAACTCTGCTTGATCAAAAGCAATCCAACTGGATTTTCCCGATGACCACACAACCGTCATCAGATTATAAACTCTCCACGAAAATTTAAGAATCACAGTCTCAATAATAAGGGCGGGAAAAGCGAAGGACATAAACCTGAAAATTTGATATCGCGCGGAATAGCGATGACGCGAGTCTCGCCGCCGACATACTTGAGGTGGCCATCG